TATATAGGAAGTGGATGTAAGCCTGGACTTTTATCAAATCGATGATATGATACAATCATTTGCTAATATCTATGGTGGTTGGAACTACCCGGCCCTGGCTATAATGTCGGGCATATACCCCAGTTCTAAAAGCAAACCATTTTTTGGAGTTTTGAAGATTTTTGATAAATATGTATAAAATGTATTTAATTATAAATTATTGAATTCCTAAATTATAATTATATGTTATGTAGTTTTGGTTATATACCCAGTTCTAAAAGCAAACCATTTTTTGGAGTTTTGAAGATTTTTGATAAATATGTATAAAATGTATTTAATTATAAATTATTGAATTCCTAAATTATAATTATATGTTATGTAGTTTTGGTTATATCTTACACTCAGTTATATATTGAGTGCATTATATTTGTCATTAGAAGCCATTTATGAGAAAATGGATTTATATCTCACTAATGGGTAATAATTTTAAAATTCACAAATTATTATAATTCATATAATATATTATTAATTATATTTCCACAGAAGTAATTATTCACTTAAAATGATTATTTGTGACCAATTTTGGACGGCATTTAACACACTACTTATGCAATGTATATATATATTGTAAATCTAATTCAAAAATATAAATTAATTGTTAATATTTTATTTATTTTTTACCGACAAAATACCGAAAAGCGATCAAATATAAAACAAATGCAAAGAGATATTTATTAGTAATAGCGGTACTATTAATGACAAACTTTCAAATCATAACACATTTCAATCAAATGGTTCTCTCGACTACTATTGACAATCCATTTGAAGTCATCGATTCATTGGATCAGTTGAACCAAAGGGAGGCATTACAGCCACGACTATTCCTTAAGACAACTGACATCCACTCCATTCAAGTAAGTGGTAAAATTACAAAATAAATAAATTGCAATAAAACCCATTTTAAACCAAATGAATACAAAAGTTATAATAAAAGCGTTAATCTAATAAATTAATTAAAACATAGAGTAACGCAAATCCTATGGAGAGTCGAGTGCTAAACAAAGCGATGACTAAAAATGAGACAAATTATATTGATTACACTCATTTAGACTTCTACCAAGATTTAGACCCATTAATGGTAACCATTCGCGACAATAAGACCCACGTATTGGTCTCTTCATTCTTCGACATCGAGATTGTGATGACAATCAATCCATCGCTTTATAGCCAAACACTTCACGTCTCAGACAATAAATACTTTGATAAGGCGTTTGGTTGGGTACTCCATAAACATTGCGATCCATATCTAATGGGAATATACGCCCATTTGTGAGTCCATTACCAGGAAATTGTTAGTAAACTATATTTATTAATTTAAATGTGTTTTAGACTAATGGATGTTCATGAGACAGGTCTATGGGACAAATGGAAAGAGCAGTCTGCTGTGTTTTCATACTCCTTGTTTGTCCAGGATAGTCATCATGTTAAGGAACCCGTTAATAACAAGAATTTGGATCTGGTAGAAACAAAAATAGCTTTTGGACCTTATATTTTAGGACTCATTATGTCATATGTGACCATCATTGGTGAAATATACCTAGATATTTATAAGCTATAGAATATTTGAGAGACCTTATCAATTGATTTGGTTGACTGGAATAAATAAATAATTTTTAAGATTTGTTGTCATAGAGCCAACACAATTTCTCAAATTGAATAAATGTTGTCATTTTTATCTCATGAGATATAAGTTTAAAATCTTTATTTATAATGAAAATCGTGCGTATCATTACCACATCGGCGTTATAATCGGGAGGGTGTGTGGCATAGGTGTCAACATAGGGGTCGTATCCCTACCGGCGTTTATTTCAGCATTTTGTTGGCTGTGGATATGTTTTCCTTTCAAAATCTATTTCCCATTTACACAAACTATTGTCAATAACTATTTATAGTCAATTAGTAATTACAAAATAAGATTTCAAGTATAATAACTTAGACTTTCATTGAATAACAATTATTTTATCAGTAAAAACAATTTTGTAAACATTCTACTAATGCATAAAACACCATGGAGTTATTTATTTACCTTAAAAACCATTACTATTACATAAAAATATTTTACTGACAATTATTGAGTAAAACTAAATGCATGACTAGAGTGACGGTCACCGATAGGAAAGCCTTAAAAATAGCGACGTTTTTGTCCGATGACTGAGTTTTTGAAATGTATTTCATTAGCAAAACATTCGTTGAATTCATTAAACAAATACTCACATCAAATAAATTTGTCAATAATTTAACGTCACTCTCATCTTCAGCTATAAATTATATAAAATTATTTTAAATTAACAATAAATTTAGTATAAATTCATAATAAACCTGGTGGATTTGGTTTATATTGATCATTTACAGGGTACATATCAGGTACAATTTGGGAATTTATACCGGTATCGCCCGGGTCACACTCATAATTGTGGTGATAATCTGCCGCTTGGTTCACTATTATTTAAATAATTAATTTGAATAAAATGAGAATTAGCTAGTTAAATACATACACTTAAAATAATTAACGATACAGTATTCCAAGTTAAGTACCAATACTTTTAATTGCATGTAATTACAAATTGCTACATTATTAATTATAACTTAAAATAGTAATGTAATTGTACTCTTAATTGGTTTATTATTAAAGCACTCAACTGTTATATGAACTTATCATAATTATTTATAAACTAAAAATGTTGTTCACCTAAGTTATAGGTGCACTCAACAATCCAGGCACATTTAATAAACATAAAATTGTAATAAATCAATACAATGAATGCATTCTTTGTTTATGTGATAAACTAAAGCTGTTGTTATAAGTCTAGCAAATAATTAGCTGCACTCCCAGTAGTTGTACTAAGAATAAGACAATTATATAACAATAATGTTATTATTTAATCGAAAGTTATGTTTCAATACAAACTCTCAAGGTTTATTTGGTAACCGTTTACACAAGTCCTTCAAATGTTTAATTATTAAGAAAGTTTATAAAACATTTATACAATAAAGGTGGTTAAAAATTATTTATCAATTTTAATCGTATGAAACATGGAGGTGCCCCATAGCGCCAACTTTGCCTGTGATTTGAATATAGCCTATGAGACCGAGCCTTATATATTTGACTTTGATTTCCAGATGAAGGGTAATTTTACTGTTACCTGGCTCCAAATGGTTAGTGATTAATAATGACTTATTATTATTAATATGATTACAAATTAGTTGACTCGTATTGTAGTAAATATAACAAAATTGTGTGACATTTGTAGTTAAGGGGTACAGACATACGAATTCTGTGTTCATCTCATTATTTTATGCTCCGGGAACTCGTTAGACGCACTCAATACGGGTACTGTTTATAATGGACTATAATAAATAGATTTTGTAATTTAAATAATTTATTTAATTATATGATTATATGATTATATGACACATTTTCAGCGCACTTCCTGTAGAGATAGACCCGGACAGGTATTTGACACTTGATGGATATAACCACACGAGTGCTCCATATCTCACATATATTTATAAAAACGTAAGAAAAAAAGTTATTTTTATAAAATAACATTAAAATGAAATATAAATTTTGACCAAAAAGGAAGTACAGATATCGCTGGACGAACACGAACTCAATGATATGATTCAGTCATTCACAGACATACTGGTGCCTCATAACTCGCCATCCATTTCCATTATGGGAGGCTATTATCCAAACACTGACTCCAACCCATGGTTTGGTGTTTTCCAGATATACGATAATTATGTAAATTGATCTTGATACTTTAAATGTTTATTAAACGTTAATTTATTCTTAAATGTTAATTAGTTTTGGTCCTTGTTTGTAATGGCATATATTTTGTGCTCGCTTGTTTTATCAATTGAAGTTTTCCACATAAAACATAAAAATAAATCAAATATGTAAGCTACTTAATATTAGAAAAAGATTTTAATGATAAGTAAAGTACATTATTTTAAATCTCAGAATTAGCCAAGATCAATTTAAGACTATTCTTTGGGAGCAAATATGGGTCGTTTCTAATGCTTTATTTATTCAAAGTAAGTTTACTGTAATGCAGCATGTAACTATTTTTTTTAATTTAAATATTTATTATATTTTATAAATAATAGACATAATGATAAAACACAAAACGTTTAGATATTTATTTATAATTGGCATTTTATTTGCATCAAAATTCATGATATTCACGCATTTTAATCAAGAAATATTATCAATTACTATACAAAATCCGTATAAAGTAATCGATTCGTTACAAGACTTAGAGCAGAGACCACTAATACAGCCAAAAATATTTATGACAACCACTGACTTACAAACAATTCAAGTATTTTGTAAACATAACATAACATAGCAAAAATTATAATTAGCTTGTTTCAATTCTTTAAGCAAAAAGCGACTCCAATTGAGTCAAGAATTATAAACAAAGCATTGGATAAAAGAAATGAGAGTTATATTGACATATCGTACACTCAATTACTCGACAAATATTACAAACTAATGATTGAAATACAAGTGGAAAAGAGCCACGTATTAATAGGATCTGCATTTGCCATGGACTTTATAACATCAATGTCCGACATGTATAAACGTACCGTTCATATCGCTAAACACCGCAATTTTTATCAGCCCTACGGTTGGGTTATTCATAAAAATTATGCCAATGATCTGATCGCTAAACAATTTGCTGATATGTAAGTTATATTATAAGTAAAAAATAATTTTCAATATGTTTTGCATGAATGGCTAAGAATGAAGATTTCGTTTGAGACGGGTCTTTGGGACAAATGGCAGGACGCGGCCGCCATATATGCTTTCAAATACTATATGTCCGACAAAAATATTGTATTTGAATTTCCCGACGACACCAAAGATCATTATATGACCCTGGGTGAAATAAAAATAGCGCTTGATCCTTTTTTCGCGGGAATATTTACCGCAATAGTTGTTTATTTTGTTGAGAAATATGCGTTCATTGAAAAGAAATTGTTTATTAAATCAAACCGACGGAGTAGTAGACGGAGTCATAATTTGGTGATATTTTAATTGCATTTATTATATTACAACAAATAATTATTAGTTTTATATTTATAAATGTAATTAAAAATTTCAATTCATTGTAGAATATTATTCCGCAAAATCTATTTGCTTTAAAGTAATTATTACTATATTATAATAAATAATTTATGTTAATATAGAATTGTACAGTAAATGTTTATTATAAGATCAATTGTGTGTAATGATATACAATTTATAATACAAATGATTATTATATGGTTTAAGTGTTCATTTTGAGTGCAAGTTTTATGTTATGTCTAACATTTGTGACATTTAAGAGACATATAAATAAACATTTAATTTAAATAGACCCAAATTTGTACTTTCATAACGATTATCAATATAAAATAACTTATTTATGCATATTATCATAAATTTATAATCAATATCAATACATTCCGTATTATGTAAGAAAAATTAATGTGCTTATAATTTCAATACTACCCAGTGAGTTTATTACCTAATACTTTTTCGCTAAAAAAGATTACGAAAATATTTGGGAAATTCATTGTTTGGGAAGTGGAGAGATAAATGAGCCAGGTTTGCATACAAAGCATGTGTCACAAGACCTTTGTAAATAAGTCTGGGTAGAGACTATATGACCATCAATGACACACAAATTGCTTTCTATTATATGGGCATCTCATTGCCAATCATTAGTATTAGCTTTAAGGAGTTATACTTCATAAATATTTGTTAATTAAACTATGTTATTGTAACTTAAAGTTAAAAAATTTCTTAAAACCTCAGCTATGAAGTTAAATAATGATTTGATGTTATATTTATATTAAAATTTATAGATTATAGATTATTTACTGTTACATTTACATTTATATGCCTTTAAATACGGGTGCAATAGTGTTTATTATATTTATTGAATATTTTGATATTTTGTTAAAATGTTAAAAACCAAATTCAATACAGTACGGACCCTTACATTTAAACAGATATTACATTTAAGATTTTCGTAAATATTTGAATTTCTAAAAATGTATTACAAACTATAATATTATAGTAAGTTAATAATAAACACAAATTGTAATTAATTATCTAAATAAAATATTAATTATCTTGTTATTTTTTAGTACAACTAATTGTGTGTGGGAACTTTGTTCTAATAATTTTTTTATAATAATCATTGCAAAATAATCGTGTTTGTAATTATAAGAATTATTAGGCAAATTCATTTTTATGTTTGCAAATAATAGTAATTGTATTTGAATGCAACACTAAATCATGTTATTACACAAAATATCAATAAAATTGGAGTCCGAATGTAATCATTAAATAAGATATTAATGAATAAATTAATGAGACTTTTATTGAGAAATCGACAATAAAATGTTGTTTACTGCAAATATTATCAAAATAAGGTCATTAGTACAATTTGCTGTAGACATGATAAATATAATATTGTAGAAAATTTATATATTTGATCATGTTATTAAGTTAAATTAAAAATGTCTCTTCTTGGTGATTTAGTGCCCACCACTGCTAACTTTGTGTGCGATATGAATATAGCCCATGAGCCAGGGATAGCACATGATTTTGGCTATGATTTTAAACCAAGAGGCAATTTCACGTTTGTATTTGTGCAAAATGTATTATAAATTTTTTTATGAAAAACATTTTAGCTTGTATTACTTAACCATTACATTTTTATTATTTAAAACTATAGACTTTGAATGTAGAAACCGATATGAGAGCATTATGTTCAGTGCACTATTTCATGGTAAAGGAGCTGGTTAAACGTACACAATATGGGTATAAAAATAAATTCACATTGATAACTTGAAGTGAGCTTACAAATGACTTGTTATACCAGTGCAATACCGGTGACAATGGACCCAAACCGTACTCTCAGTATATCCGGCGTTGAAGTTGAGAATGAGCTCACTTATCTATACTCCAGGGTCATTTATAAATATATAAA